GATGGATGACGAGATTATAGCACTAAGAAAACTCAGAGATGGTGAGCATATAATTAATGATTTGCAAGCTTTGAAAGATCTTGAGAGAGCAAGACTTGGTGAACATATGCTAGAGAATACCAAAAGCAAGCTAGGGATTATCAACATAGATGAGGAGGCGAGGGCTAAGAATGATTTGATCTCAAGGGAGCTTCGTAGTATAAAGAAGGGCATGTTATCAATGAGGGGGAACACATTGGCTAAGAGAGACCTATTTGCAAAGAAAGAGAAGGAGCAGAGAAAGCAGGAGCCTTTTACAAAGTTAGACAGTAATGTCATAGTTAACAAAGCACTTATAAATGACAATTATGACAAAGCCAAATTGGCACTTGAGGACATCATCTCAGAGAGGCAGAAAAGAAACAATAAATTCACAGAACAGCATCCAAACCTAACATCTGAGGAGCCTGCTAATGATGAAAGTTTCATATCAAAGGTACAGCGACATGAAAAAGCTTTGGAAGACTCAGTGACAGATGGAACGAATGATCAAAACGGCCAGACTCTTACACTACAAGAGAGGCTAGGTGACCTGAGAGACTACAGTCACATGAGACAGATCCTATCACAAACTGAACCAAGACTTAGTGAGACCTATAGATCGGGTGGTAGAATAGCTCTACCAGGCATGGACAAGGTCGGCAATGAGCTGCACTCAGTACTTAAAACTAAAGCTAAACAAGCTAGTGATAAACCAGCTGATAATCCTAGTTATGAATCAGAGGAGATAAATTTGAGACAGATGTCTGAAAAGAGTGGTGAAAATCTGACAAATGAAATTGGAGATAAAATGTTAGATGCTCCTCCTGTTCCTCCTAGGAGCAAAAAAGAAGGCAACAGAAAAGATGTAAGTGATACTAAAGAGACAGATAGTTTGAGAGATGTAGATGAGTATGTCTTTAACAGGAATGGAAATGGTGAGGAATGCTTAAAAGAGATGAATAGGAAAGGCTCAGGAAAACAAGAAATAAGAAATGACCTGTCCACAAAAGAACCTGCACCCAGCCAAAGTGAGATCATTTCTGAAAAAGTGATGTGGGATGTGGTAAATAACGCAGATTTAAAATCAATCACTGAAACTGACACAGTTACACGTCATCCCACTGTACCTTTAGATTACCCAGACTCTGAAAACAGACTGTACTTATCACCAAAAAACAGGGAGGATGAAAAAGAGGCAAATAATTTGCAGATAGATATGAACACCTCAACCCAAGGCACATCTGAAAGCAGCAACGCTAAGGAACATGAAACACGCAAGATAAAGCGAAATGCTACTTTAATGTCAGACAATTTAAACACACCAGACAACAATGTTACTAAAAATCTAGCAGCAGAAGGTGAACAAGACAAAATATATAGACCTATTGAAGAAATAAATGTGGATACAGAGGCTGTCAGTGAAATTCCTAGAATGATAATATCACCCTTACTACTGCTAAATAGTATTAACCAGAGCCCACCTGATCAAGCCAGCTTGTCCTCAAAATCATCCTACTTCTCTGTGGACAGTGCACTACACAGAAATACTGAGACTGAGTCAAACGTTTACCACTCACTGGAGAACGTGGTTGGAGAAGTGGAGGAGGCCAATGACAAACATGTTTCACAAAACATGAAGCAGGATTCAGACAGGCCTGAAGTGGAATATTATTCTTTAAATGATCATGAAAGTGAGTCAAAGGTTGTAAAAAGACCAATAACATCTTGTCAAAAAGACAGAGAAGTGGCATACAACGAAGGCAAAGAGCAAGAAAATACCACTGCAGACCAAAGCTTAACTCAAGATGAAAATAATCAGATTCCAATATCGCCCTCTGACACTTTTTCACCGACTCTGGGGATCCCTGCCTTATTTAAAGTAAAAGACAACAGTTTTAGTAATAAGCCAAAGAAGCCTTTACAACCTTGGTCACCAAGAGGGAGTCTGAGTGGTTCAGAGAGGGGAGAGGAGGAGTTACATCTAGCAAAGGAAAATCCAGAAGTCCCACTGGCTAATCCAGCAGAAATCTTCAAACCTAAAGAGATTTTATCAAACCAATCAACTCCCCTGTTGATGTCTCCTTCAAATCTACAAAATGAATACCCAAAGAAACCCCCAGTTGGACAGTTCCTCACTGTCCTACAGGAGGAAGACAGATTTTCTGGGGTTAGTCCATCATCTGAGGGTGTGGACAGCTTAACAACCAGCACAGCTGACGCAGCTGATGAGACGGGAATGAACGCCGGCGTGACAGTAGAGCATGAAGTGCCAAAGATTCCTTGTAAACACTCAGGATCCAACTGCAGTGGCAATGGAATCCCAACAAGGTTTCCCAAACCACCAGCTGTCTTACCCAAATCTGAAAAGGCTGTTCTCAGAGCCATTAAACTGACAAACAGAAGAATGAAGAAGGAGGAGGCCCAGAAATACACCCACAAGTCGTCTCAAAGCAGCAGCAAACACAGAGCAGAGAGACAGAAGATCGACAAATCTGAGAACAAAAGTAGCAACAGCAGTAGAAACAGCAAGAGTAGTGAGAAAAAACAGAGAGAAAAAGTGGAGGAAGGTCATTATCAGAGTGAAAATCACCAAGGTAAAACTATCAGGGGCAGAAGTGAGCAGCTCCATGAATTAAGAAGCAACAATAGTGAAAACCACAATTCTGACAGAACAGAAATAAACCACAAGACTCGGAGACAGCACCAGGATATGAGGGAAAGCACTAACCAGATCAAAGAAGCACGACCCAGTGTGGCAACAGAAAGGCAAGGTCGCAGCAGTGACAGACACATTCGGGATAAACCAGGTCAAAGACATTACAGCAGCGATAGGGTCATCAGTAATGTTCCTGTATACAAAGCTCATGTCGGAGGGAGACCAGTGATGGACAGACTGTTCCACCGATCACAAAGCATTGACAGGTACTTGGGAGATAAAACAGAATGCAGGCTCAGTGCTGAGAAGTTTGATCCAAGGGCACAATGCACTGAGAAATCCCTCATGGATGAGCTTCAGCAAAGAGGCCGAACCAAAGTCAAGTCGAGCAGAGACAACCCACTGAGAAGAAGCCACAGCATTGATGCATACAGCATGGAAGTACCTCAACCTTTACCCCTGTCCCGCCAGTCAAGCCATGCCAGTCAGCTGTCTCGCCAGTCCAGCATTGAGCATGCCATAGTTACGCAGTCCTTCCCTGTGACCCAACGTAAGCTCCTCCAGGATCCAGATTCCGGGCAGTACTTTGTTGTAGACATGCCAGTACAGCTGAAGACAAAAACCTTCTTTGATCCCACAACAGGCAGCTATGTGCAGCTGCCAGTACAGCCACCAGACGGCACTATTCCTCAGGCATCTCCCATTGATGTCTTGACCCCACCGCTGGTTGTTTACCAAAGCTTTGTCCCGGTGCCTCTTTCGCCCATGGCTCAGAAGCCTACCATCCAAGCCCCTCCTATGCAACCAGAGGAATTTGAGCAGAGACACTTAGAAAGGTCAAGACAAATGCACTGTATAGAGACACACCCATATTTAGAGCCTATCTACAATCAACATGAATTTATGTTAGGGGAGTTCTTGAGCACTGAGGAGCTGGACTGTCCCAGCTGATAGGCCGTGAGGTTTGTGAAGACAAATCTGCCCTCCTCTTGTGCCATTTTCTATCATCAAACTGTGGTGTGCATTCCAGGAATTAGTCTGTGATCAAGCGTTCTACGTGTTTGTTTTGGTGTGCCCATCCTTCAGACTGACTAGTTTATTTTTCCTTCAGTTAGTGATTTCCTACATTTGCCATAAGGATTCTGAGCAAGCAGAAAATATTTCATTATGGATTTCTGCCCATCTGACTACAGAATTCTTGTACAACTTGAAAGGCGCCTTCGATTGTCTAAAAATCGTTTACCATTTAACACCACTGTAGCTGTGTAGGAGATGTTTTTAACACAATGTTTTGCTTGTTATGTATTGAATAAGAGGAAAAAAACTAATTTAGCCCAGAAATGCATGGTACATGACAATACCTGTTCATTTGTTAAGTGTTTAGAGTGGATTTTTCCTTCAAGCTTAAGTGTTTTCTCAACACAGAACTGTGATCCTTGTTTCACTTTCCTTGCCTTAACTTTCATGAAAGACAGCGTGAGACACACTGCATAGGCTTTGTGAAGCTTAAGGGGCCTCTGTCATATTTGTGAAGCAGAATGAGTTTGACTTGAGTGTAAAATAATGAGAGACTGATTTTTGTGAATGAATAGCAGTTGTTGCTGACTGTTGTTTGACAGTGGGTTGAAGGATCTATGTAAGATAATGTGCAATTTTTGAGACGGATAAAAGACATGGACAATCCATGTATATAATGTATTTAAGTGTAAACAGAGAGGGTAATCGTGAATATAAATGTGGTATATTTTTTGTAAATGCTGAGGTTGTTATGTTCAGGTAGACTGGTATTTGGGTCTCTAACACTTTTGGGGTATTGAGGCTTTTTGTTTTATTACCTGCAAAGTTTGTTCCTTGAAAATTGTTTTTCCAGCAGACAGTTTGCAGTCACTGAAATTATCATTAGTGATATCTGAAATAAACAGAATTCATTAAAATGAATCTCTAATTTGTAATTAATTTTGACTTATCATGTCCACACAACTAAATTCTTTAAAAACATTTTGCATGCTAAAGTTGAAATTGCAGTTACAGTTGTTGAATATGTTTGATATAACACAATGTTTATACTTTCTAAAAGCTTAAATTGGCATTATTGCAATTCAAGTTTTTCATGAGCAGAGGACTTGACAGAAAAATATTTTTCAAGTTTGTTGCATTGGAACTCTTGTGAACTAGAATAAAGCAGGGCTGTATTGTGTCTGTGATCCATTCCAATAAAATAACAACTGCTGTTCCAGATTTGATTTTAGTGTTATTAATTTCACTGGGCACATTCTTCATTTACAACACGTCTAGGACCACTGACGAGGAATACTTGTTTTATTTCTCAAAATAACACAATATTTAAACAGATGCACAAAAATACAGCGTTTTATTCAACTCCTGAAAACCATCACCTCCACATCCCTCATTGCTTCACTGCAGGCTGTCCCATCTAGTCAGTGACAGCCGCAGCTTAACGCTACCATGTCATCATACTGCTTTAAAACCACGTTCTCCTCATCATCAAAATATAGCAAACTGATGGGCTGGAGCCTGTCGGGTACACAGCAGGGGGCTCCCACTTCGTCGCTAGAGAGCTTGAGCGCATGCATGATGGAGCGCACTGTGGCGTGGTTGGTTGCCCTGAGGCTGCCTGCCAGTGGGAACGGACAGGAGCCTTTGCAGTGGTAGGCGTTGTATCCCCGTGGAGAGATGATCCAGCCTGACCAGCCAATCTCCTCAAAGTCAACGAAGAGGGGAACCCGCTGGCAGGACTGGGACCGATCGTGGGGCGAGAAGCTCGGAGATGCACGTCGCTTTCTGCGGCGGTGGTCCTGGAGCTCAGGTGCTGCGGCTGCAGGTTGGACTTCACCTGTGCAAAAAAGGAAGATGACCACACTGGGTTGGAACAGCATCATAGCATTTCATGTCTGTAATATTCAGAGCATGGGCAAATTATTTAGAGTTGTTAAAGCCTGTAGCTGCCAAAACATCAAAGTCTGAAGGTGACTGTACCACATGAAGAGCTGTGGCTCCAGGAGCTAAAGCAGGCTTTCCCCTAACTACAGGGTTGGAGGTTCAGTCCCTGGCTTCTTCAGTCCACATGCCAAAGTGTCCTTGGGCAAGATAATGAATTTGATCCTGGCAATATCATCAGTGTATGAATGTTTGTCTGAATGGGGCAAATAGTGTAAAGCACTTTGGGTGCGCTTCATTGCTTAGAAAACTGCTATAATGTACCTGTCAATTTACCAAGCTCACTAACATGACACATGAAGTGACACGGTAGCATGATTCAGTCTGATTCAACAGTGTAGAACGCAACTGACCGCTTGTTTGTAAAAGATAAGGTCATTTTAATCCTGGAGGGAGAGTCACATGTCACGGCAGCACGGACGTGAAGCAGTAAGAAAACTGATCATGTGAAAGATACAAGTAAAAATGCAATAAGGAATTAAAAATAATAAGAGATGCATTTAAAAAAAAGCTAAAGTTTATACAGTACAATGTATAGTACAGCACTGGTACATGACAGGGTTTTTGAGGCTGATATTTTTGTCTATATTTGAGAGTTTTGGACCACAGTAATTTTATAACAAACAAATCATCTAGATATGGATCCTTATACTGAATGGGGCATTTCAGAGTGTAAAAATAAACTTCTCAGTGTTCTCTGGTGGACAAACAATGTGACAGTGAGAATGTCTCCAAATTACCTTGAATGTCGCATTTCTATACTGTCATTACTTGTTACCTATTTGTGACATATAAGCTAATACTAAAATATCAGTAACAGTATCAGCTGATATATTGGCCTGACTTATTTATTAACCTCACTATAAAATATACATTTAATCCATTATAATACCCCAGGCTATATGTGAATTGTGCAAACATTTGTGTGGAATAAAGTCCAGCAGTGCAACACCAACATATGCGAACTACATAATAATATATTAATGCATATAGTGTTATGGTATATAATATGAACTACATAGTGTGTAACAGAAATGAAGATAATTATTATGACATAGCAAATAATATAATAATAGTGATATTATATTGCTATAACATGGTAAAAGTAATAGAATGCACTGTAAAAATAAAACTGTTAGTGTTATATTACTTTTTGTATTTATATTCTTATATCTGCGATGAAATCAGAGACTTCTTATGCTGAAATTCTATGTCACACTCATTCTATGTAACACATCCACAACACTAATACCATCTTACCCACATAGGACTGGTTGGTTGCTCCCGTCCTCCCATCATCTGAGAACACAACCAGGTAGGACTTTGTGTCTGTCAGTGCTCTGTTCTGCTTAGATGAGGATGCTGCTGACTCCACCCAGTGACCAGAAGGGAGCATGGTCACCACCAGGATTCCATTGTTCTCCTGACTGTTTTGGATCCACTTGGACACCTGACATTCAAAAGCATAATTCAGTAACTAGTTAACCTACAGTATTTGTAACTAGACAGAAGTGTCTGTATGTCTAATATAATCAAATTCTGTCCATATCCAATAACAATGGGGCTACTTACCATCTGACTGACATTGAAGACCTCCCATCCCTGTGTGTAGAGAGGCACTAGTCTGGAGTTGATGAGGTTTCCTCTCCAGGGCTTCACTTTGCTGTCCAGCACCTCATACAGATCCACCTGGAGACATATGCAACTGTGTCCATCAAAACCTCAGATAATATCTGTGATCTGTGATCTGCTAAATTTCTGAAGACACTAAAACAGGATAACTGTTATTATTTGACCAGGGTGGAATATTAGTCACCAACTACTGAACAGAATGAACAGTTGCAAGTGATGTTTGCATTTTCATTCTGGAAGATCAAATATAGAGTAAATTTAAAGATATGATACATGAAAAATGTAAAAATATACACAGGGACGTTTGTCAAACTATGTCAAACAAAAGACAAACAAGTATTCTACCTTATAGAAATGAGGCCCATATGACTTTCCTTGGTAAAACTTCTGTTTCTTTTTGAACCAACGGAACTCTGCTTTAACCATTCTCTCCTCTCTACTGAAAGATGACAGATTGAAGAAGTGAAACCTCTCTCCAGCGTGACCTGCAGCCGGGAAAACATCACAAAGATCTTTAGAGAACCGATTAAATGATCTGTTGTTAACTGCTTTAAAGTCTTTACAATTATCGGTTTAAAAGAGACAAGCTGTGCGCAATCTGCGCAATTGGATAACACTTTAATGTCTATATATTTCCAACATTTAGTTCTGCCAAAAGTGAAACGGTTTGCTTAAACTAAGTAAGTATATTTTCCAAAATACATATTTATATAACAATCGCAGCTCGCGCGTAAACGTGAGTTAAATCGTCTTTGCTCACCTTTATCCTCGAAACTACGAACTATGTTCCCTTCTAGAATCTCATTCAGACTTTTCGGGGCCTCATCAGAAACTGACACTGCGTTAAAAAGATCCAACATGAACTGAGGCGCCTTTTTGTGAGGGGCCACCGCTGGACCCCGAGGTAAATAGCTCAGATGGAACAGCGCGCCCGTCTCCTCGTTCGCCGTTTCCGTCGCATCCAAACCATCGTGCCATCCTGCCGTCCCTCTGTCCTGTGGGACAACAAGCAGGGTGGCACATCTCAGCCGGAGAGCGAGGCAGAGCCATAGGAGCAGAACTCCGGCTGTCATTTTACTGGAGAGCGCACTGGGCTCTATACCCGTGAGACAGTGGGTGACACGGGCGATCTCACTGCTTTTGATGACTGTGCCTGTTTTCAGTTACCACCGGAAGATGATTGGTCCGTGATTGACGATGGTACAAGTAACACAAAGGAAATGTTAGACTGTCTAGAGATAAAGATAAACAAACGACTAATTTGCCTTCATTTCTATGTACGTTAGAGGAGATTTTGGCTTATCTGTCCCGTTCAACCCAATGAGGTTTTGTCATAAAGTAGAGACGTGTTTAGAAAAAATCTACTGGAAAGTGAACAAAAACATTAACATAATGCTGTATACGAATATATGTCCAGGATTTATTTTTAAATAAAATAATGTTTAAGTTTTGGATAATAATCACGTTTTTCTGTTAGAATGCTGCGTTACAGTTGTTTTATGACAGGGGCCAATCAGTCGGCCAGCCATATACTATTATCCCATTATGTTTTGTTGCAGTTGCTCCACATCCTGCGTTTCTCTGCCCAGCTGTCTGTTATCAGTATGAAGCCAGTTGCAAGAGAGCAAACGAACAGCCGAGCCATGACGCAAATGAAGCGCGTTGTCAAAAGCTGCCTGTTAATGCGCACATTTCCACTAAACATTAGTGTTTGGACAGTGACTCAGAGCTAACACCGAAATAAGCATGACGCCTTATTCCACCTTTAATATGAATCCAGGATGATCCCCAATCAATCAGGTCGAACAAAAGGGATCAACTTCCCAAGATCATCGTGCTGATCAGTGGCCGAGTCTCTCCTCTGTTGTTAATCAAATTCGTTTGCCTACACAAGAAGGATGATCCCCTCATTTAGGGGTCATTACTCACGTTAGAGCATCATAGTGAATAGAGTTTTTCCACTGATCCCCCACCATGTATTACTTAGTAGCCAAGCTGTCAGATAAGCCACTGGATAGATTATAGCCATAAACAGTGTCAACATGATACTAGAACATCAAATGATGATTGGAGTTGATGAAACAGAAGTTGCATTTTTTTCTAAAGACAACGCTAATGATACTGTTTAGCAGGAAGAAACTGCAGTGTTTGTGTGGTAGTCTGATATGGTGAACCTTTATGTAAATTTCTTGCTAAACTCAAGAAAGCAGATGCTGTGGACACTCTCTCTTTTTAGTCCTGTTAAGGTGCAGTGGAGAGCTGAGGCTGGATGGCACATAAAGACCTACAGTACGACCTTCCCTGTGATGTACATTATGTTTGTGTTCCTCTGCACACGTGTGCAGTATGCGGTATGTGTGTTTGTGTGTGAGACCTTAGCACTGAACATATAGGGGACAGCTGGATGGTATGGGATGGCCTCCAGTGTTTACACTGACCATGTGTTGGTCACAGATAGACTTAAAGGGAGGCCTCGGACAGGATCTGACAGTTAGGGATAGACCACAGTGTGCACATGGCTTCATTTAAGGATATGCAGTAAACTCTGTGAGCCATAGATTGAACATTTTGTCAAAGATGTTTAGATACATTTACAGTATTGTGCTGCTAAAGTTAAAATAATAATGCTGTATTTTGGGAAACACAATTACTTGCATTATTGCCAAGAGGTAAGGTTTTGCTTTTGCAGCTGAAAGCAACAGTGTCTTCAAGTTGTATCAGCCCCATGAAACAAAAGAATTTACAACCAATGTTCCTGCTCAAACCAAAATGCTCTTACTATAAAATCACATGCCTGTTTCCCAAACTTAGCTGTTCATCATTTTAAATCCACTTATTAAAAGAAGTTAGTGTCTGAGACAGAGCCTGAATCTGTAGCAGGAGTGAATCAGGACTTACAGACACTTATTTTATTTTACCAAGCAGATACATCACATAATTAATATATAGAATAGATTCAAGACTAATGTCTGCATCTTGTTTTTGTTTTTTTTGTTTTGTTTTTACTTCATGTTAACTGTGTATCACCTACTCTGTTTTCGCTTGCTGCTACATTGATGTAGTGTTCTCACTTGAACAGCAGATGGAGCTACTGACCTGGGCATTGTGAAAAAAAATAAAACCAACACACTTGACCCTCAGTTTCACTGATGATGAAGAATATTACCATGCTGCAGCCTAAGGTTTAAAACCTAATGAATACCATTTCTGTGTTTTCCAGGTTTTGAATTGTGATTGAATTCTGAGTGATGCTCTGTAATGTCTAAAGTAACATGGTTAAAAGAAATTCAAAATCATGTGTGACAATATATTTTTTAAAATTCTTATAATATCTTGTTACTTTTTGTCTTAAAAATCAAACCCATTGTCCTTCTAGTACTCATAGCTGTACAGGCTGTCTTCTACAATCCATTTTACATTTTTACAAAGTTTTTGTCCCTGAAAAATGATGCAGCGCAGTGTTTTGATGAGAGGTCCCTCAGATTTCTTTATTGGCCATGGCGGGTGCTGCATTAGCTTTCACCCAGGGCTGTCTGGCTCCACATCTGACAAGTGTGTCCATGTGTTAATGACTTCACCTTCTGTTAAATACCTATACCAAGGCAATTACAAACACATGGAAGGCATTTGCTACTAGTACTGCCCACTGCTGCAACTCTGTTTGAATGAATAATGAAGAGGAATACAATCACAGCAAAAGTGGAAACATATGACAAGGGTGTCGAACTCAGCCATAATGTAATGGGATATTTTTTTTTGGCCTCTGACCACAAACAAGCAGGGTCAGCTGTCCTGTTCAGTGCCTGAAGAGTCCACTTTAACCAAGACAATCTCTCTAATTGTCATTTATAGATGATAATGACTAATGAGTCAGAATTGCAACAATATACTGTATTTTTTAAAATATTATTTTTACATTACGTTTAAAGTTTATTACTCTATGTCTAAAGCAATACTTATTAAAAATTATTAACTCAGCTGCTGAAAGTCAGATGAGAAATCATACCACACACATAGCTGCCTGCTAAATATAAAGCTACATCCAGCAAGTACTTTGCTTATCTTAACAACAAGACTGGAGCAGGTGGAGCTAACCTTTGTCAACAACCTCTACTGGCTCCCTCATTAAAAGGACCTAACTATGCCTAGCCAAGAAACAGCTCCAGCATGTAACGCTTCATACAACCACAAATTAATGTTTAAAAATGTTTTTAAATGAGTTTTTATATGGATTAACTATATTTAAAATGGGTTCAGGGGTCGAACGGGGACTTCAGCTAGTGAACTACAGGCAAAGGTGGTGAAGACATCACATTTCTGCAAGTTTGTGTTCTCCTTATTCAACAGCTGTTTGATAAACTGCTCATACAGCCTCCTTTACTGGCTGACTGTTGAACTATGGAGTGATCCTTTGTGGCCTCTGCTCTCCCTCTGCTCAGCTGTGAATGTGCTTGAGAGGATAATCAAAAATGTCGACATGCTGAAAATCCATGGTCGGGGTCCAATCACTATGAAGTTGTTCTGAGACAAACAGACAATAGCTGCCAAACGTTTTTTAAAAAGGTCATTAAAAGCTATATTTAGTATTCAACATCAGTCTAGCATCTAGGATTTGTGATTAGAAGTAGCAGTAATGATCTACATTTCATTCTGCCTGTACCTCCAAAAAGCTTCAAAATAAAGAATCTCATGTTGTTTTTTTTTCAAACAAGCCTTGGGGATGGAACAAAAAGTGGCATTTTAGCAGGTGAGCAGTGCCACAGAATTCCCACTGTGAGCGTGTACTGACTGTGTGAAGAGCAATGTAGCAAAGGGGGTGAGTTAAAAAAATAGAAGAGGAGAAAGTAGATAGTGAATATGGTCCCCAAAAAATGTGGAGACCAAAAAAAAACGTGTAGTTATGTGTGCTTGCCAAAAAATGTGGAGACCAAAAAAAAACATGTGTAGTTATGCTTCTACATGCACGCATAACTACACAGTCACACACATACACAATCAAATATGAAAATATTCATACAAGCAGACTGTCTGTCACACGTGCAGACTGTGCAGGTGGCTGACCATGACAACAAGCAGTATAATTAGGTAAGGGTAAATGTTATAAGGCACTTTTTATTGCAAATACTGGACAAATGAACACAGAGTGAGGAAGGAGACATCGTGTGTTTCAGCGAACAGGAATATCATCTAAACCGCAACAATTTCCCAGATGAAGTAGCGTCTGGCTGACTTAATGACAGAAAGGTGAGGTCACCGTGCCAAGCGGGGAAATGGGATGTACTGTAGGAGTAAAAAGAAAACATAACAGCTACACAACCACACACAGTATCGCGGAGAGCTCAAGCCACATGTTTGTTCTGAAAATTAAAGCTGCAATTTCAGTGAGATGAAAGATTGAAATCAGATATTGGATACCCTAATTCAGTACTTCAGGAACTCAGAGTAGAAGGCTAAAATCTGCTGAAAAAGAAATAAAGGAAGAGTGAGATGTTCCATATCATCTTTAGCCTCATCCATCCATTCATTATCTAATATCGCGAACAGGGTCGCGGCAGGGGCTGGAGCCAATCCCAGCCGAAATCGGGTGAGAGGCAGGGTACAATTTAAAAAAGTCAATATATCAACAAAAGTGTAAGGTTTATGACATACATGTAACTTGTGCCATAAATGTCCATGAAGTTTTCTCTATGCTGAAAAGACAAAAGCTGGCAGCAAACAAAGACATCAGATACTTGTTGTGTTGTATTTAGGACACTGTAACGTTCCTCAGATCAATACATGTAGCAAAAAGAAATGACATATATCTATCACATGATCACATTTTCACATTTTTCGCTTGAAGAGTCGCAGACATGATATTGATGCACTCTCTTCATCTGCAGTGGTTTAATGGCATCAGACTGGAGAGATCATTCTCTCAAATAATCATTCTCTCTGTGGTGTGGTTGTAACAACCTGGAGCTGAACACATGGAAGACAGTGGAGATGATGGTGGATTTTAGGAGGAACTCCCTCATCCTATCTCCGCTCACCATATTCACCAGCACTGTTTCAGTCGTGGAGTCCTACAAGTTCCTGGGCTCCACAATATCTCGGGACTTGAAGTGGACAACCAGCATCAG